AGTGGTGGCACTGGGCACAGTATGCACTGTGAGTCTGACACACCCGCTTTAAGGACAATGACTGCTATTCAATCTATAACAGTGCAAAAGTTTTTTTGTTTTTAAATGCAAGCTATTGTGACACCAGATATGAGTGGTGGCACTGACTGGGAAAATGGGCACAGTATCCACTGTGAGCCTGACACAGAAGCTGGCAGCAGTGGCAGACAACTGACTGCTATTCAATCTATAACAGTGAAAAAAGTTTTTTGTTTTTAAATGCAAGCTATTGTGACACCAGTGAGTGGTGGCACTGGGCACCGTATCCACTGTGAGCTAACACACCCGCTTTAAGGACACTGACTGCTATTCAATCTATAACAGTGAAAAAAGTTTTTTGTTTTTAAATGCAAGCTATTGTGACACCAGAGTGAGTGGTGGCACTGGGTCACAGTATCCACTGTGAGCCTGACACACCCAGCTTTAAGGACACTGACTGCTATTCAATCTATAACAGTGAAAAAAGTTTTTTGTTTTTAAATGCAAGCTATTGTGACACCAGATATGAGTGGTGGCACTGACTGGGCAAATGGGCACAGTATCCACTGTGAGCCTGACACAGAACCTGGCAGCAGTGGCAGACAACTAACTGCAATTACATTACACAAAAAAAAAAAAGCAGACTGATGTTCTAGCCCTAAAAAGGGCTTTTTGGGGTGCTGTCCTTACAGCAGAGATCAGATGAGTCCTTCAGGACTGTAGTGGACACTGTATACCCTAACCTAGCTATGCATTTCCCTATCTAATCAACAGCAGCTACACTTTCCCTCCTCTCACTAAGCATGCAGCTTGAGAATTAATCTAAAATGGATGCTGTCCAGCAGGTGGGAGGGTCTGCTAGGGAGGGTGTGCTGCTAATTGGCTGGAATGTGTCTGCTGACTTTGAGGTACAGGGTCAAAGTTTACTCAATGATGACGAATAGGTGGCGGATCGAACCGCGCATGTGTTCGCCGTCCGCGGCGGACGCGAACATGCTATGTTCGCCGGCGAACCGTTCGGTGCATCACTAATCAACAATTTGGAGTTCGGTGTTCAGAGATTTAATGGCTTATTTTAAAAGGCTGCAGGGCAGCCAATCAACAAGCGTTTGACTCGTGTGCCCTTAGAAGCCATCACAGCCATGCCTACTAATGGCATGGCTGTGATTGGCCAGTGCAGCATGTGACCCAGCCTCTATATAGAAGCTGGAGTCACGTAGGTCTTATTAGTGTAGGAAGAGGATGCTGCCTCTGATAGGGACAGCTTAGGAAAGAATTCTGCAAACTAGTACATTAGTGGGGTGCACTTCATATCTGAGAGTCAAATAGAAGCTTCAAATACCGCGGTTACATCTGAGTTTTAAAAAGTCAATTTTTTTTTGTGCTAAATAGTACATTAGTGGGATAGTACATTAGTGGGGTGCACTTCATATCCGAGAGGCAAATAGAATCATCAAATACTGCTGTCACATTGCAGTTTTAAAACTTAAAATTTTTTGTGCAGTGCACTTCATATCTGAGAGTCAAATATAAGCGTCTAATAGTGTGCTTACAGTGCAGTGGTAAACATTCTTATTTTCTGGGTGCTAATCTGCTAAATAGTACACTTTGCAGACTGCACTTCATACCTGAGAGTCAAATTGAAGCGTCTAATAGTGTGCTTACAGGGCAGTTGTAAAAATTCTAATTTTCTGGGTGCTAATCTGCTAATTAATACATTTGCGGACTGCACTTCATATCTGAGAGTCAAATTGAAGCATCTAATAGTGTGCTTACAGTGCAGTTGTAAAAATTCTAATTTTCTTGGTGCTAAGCTGCTAAATAATACATTTGCGGACTGCACTTCATATCTGAGAGTCAAATTGAAGCGTCTAATAGTGTGCTTACAGTGCAGTTGTAAAAATTCTAATTTTCTTGGTGCTAAGCTGCTAAATAATACATTTGCGGACTGCACTTCATATCTGAGAGTCAAATTGAAGCGTCTAATAGTGTGCTTACAGTGCAGTTGTAAAAATTCTAATTTTCTTGGTGCTAAGCTGCTAAATAATACATTTGCGGACTGCACTTCATATCTGAGAGTCAAATTGAAGCGTCTAATAGTGTGCTTACAGTGCAGTTGTAAAAATTCTAATTTTCTTGGTGCTAAGCTGCTAAATAATACATTTGCGGACTGCACTTCATATCTGAGAGTCAAATCGAAGCGTCTAATAGTGTGCTTACAGCGCAGTTGTAAAAATTCTAATTTTCTGGAATCTAATCTGCTAAATAGCACATTTTGGGGCATGCACTTTATATCTGAGAGTCAAAAAGAAGCATCTAATAGTGTGCTTACAGCACAGTGGTAAACATTCTTATTTTCTGGGTGCTAATCTGCTAAATAGTACATTTGCGGTCTGCACTTCATATCTGAGAGTCACATAGAAGCGTCAAATACTGCTGTCATATTGCAGTTTTAAAGATTAAAATTTTTTGTGGGGTGCACTTCATATCTGAGAGTCAAATAGAAGCGTCTAACAGTGTACTTACAGCGCAGTGGTAAACATTTTTTATTTTCTGGGTGCAAATCTGCTAAATAATACATTTTGGGGTGTGCACTTCATATCTACAAGTCATGCTACAACAAAATTAAACAAGTTTTAAAATATGTATGGGCCAACCAGTGGCTGTAAAAACAAAGTTTTACTGGTTACATTCATGACTACACACGCTAGTGAACAGGACCTTAATGTAGTGTGTTCTTTTTTTTTTTTTAAATCATACATCATCCTTTCATGTGCTTTTCAGATGTCATATTGTTAATTACCAATTTTTGTTTAGCCTGATATTTTTTTTTTTTTAAAGTGAAAAATAAGTGTTATTGTGATCGCTTCATATACAGAAGCATTAATATACAGTTCTATATTGTGTAAAGACACAACTACAAAGTTAAAAATCAAACACCAAAACAAAGTGCCAGACAATCTACCTGTACATGGCTAGTGTTATACAATAAGTCTACATCTTAAAAATGCCATAACCCACAGAAGATGGGCGAGAATTTTTTTTGAAAATGATTGATTCGAATTTACTACATCGGTCACTTGTAATATTGTTTCACACCTACAACACTTGTTACACAGATCTAAGTGATTGAAAACAGATTGATATTTTCTACACTAGAAACTACCAGATAACAAGCTGCTAGATTTAAACCAGTTATCAATAGCTAAGAGGTACTTCAACAATATTGTAATTTTGGGGCAATACCCTCTGTAACGGACCGTTTCAGCAGACAAGGGATAAAAACCGCTTAGACGATAATCCCCTTTCAGAGACAGGCACAGCTACTGTAGAATCACCAAAACTCACGAATTGAATACAAGTGAATGCACCAAACACCCGAACTGCATACAAGGGAATGCTCCAAACACTCGAACTGCATACAAGGGAATGCTCCAAACACTCCAACTGCATACAAGGGAATGCTCCAAACACTCAAACTGGAACCTCACGAATAGCTGCTAGCAGACGAACAGGAAAAGCACCCAAGCGGCTTACACTCCTGGCAATCAGTCTCTATCAGCATACAGTAAATCCCCCCAAAGACGAGACAAGGCTCCGTGTTGAGGGTCAAGCAGTGGTCTGTTTAATGAAGGCTACCTGCCCAGTATTTATGCAGGTCTCCCACCTGGTGGACACTCCCCTAGGGGACCAGATGGAAGACTGTAACAAAAGACAGACATGTACCAATTACAGACATACAGAAGTAAAACATCCCCACAATGCATCCTGGCTTCCTCCCCTCTGCCCTGGAGAAGTAATTCAATTATCTCCCAGGACAAAGGCAAAACTCCATTACACATGTGGGGACACAAAGACAGACTATCACTTTAAAATACATAATGGGACAAATGGTACAGTAAATATATACATGTAACATATCCCCAGATAGCTCAGGTCTGAGTGCACATTATTAGGTGAATGGCACTCAGACCACACAAATACAGTTTAATTGCCATGGAGCCAAAGTCTTTAATTCCACGAACAGGCTCCATGGCATAGCTATCTGGGTTAAAACATTCCTCCAACATAAAATACCAAATTTACATGCATCCGTTAAATCCGTACGAATTAGAACCAGGGGTTGGAGGTTCAGTGGTGCCTGCACGTAAAAGTGTCCGGGTTTGGTGCAGGAAAGCCGGGCAGAAAAGCGCTGGCTGCCCGGGGAGCTCCAGAACACCGCCATCGTGTAGCGGCTAAGTGTAACCGCGACCACCCAGTAACAATCAATTAAGCTGCGGTTAACCGCAACTACTGGGTGGTCAATTGCCGGCACACGCTCGTTAAGCCGCCGTTAACCGCGGCTTCAGGGTGGTAAATGGAGGGCGCACTCCAGCTTCTGGGTGGCCAATTAACGGCGCCGGCCGGCTTACCACGGCTCTGGGGAGGCTGATAGAAGTCTGTTTGTTCGGTAGATAGAATCTACCGAACGGCTGTGCAGAAAGGGAGAAATAAATCCTTCTGCACAGTAAAATTAACCCTTTAGCTGCCGGTCCATAATCCAAAGGTAGCAGGTGGGCAACCAGGCTCCTCCAATGCAATGTGGCGAGATTGGTCTCGTCACATCCTCACAAGTCAAACTGAGAGGTCAGTTTATAGGGAAAACTGTTGCCTGAATACAATTCTAAAACAATTTCCATATGTCCTTTGCACACTCTACATGCTGGAAAAACACAGGTACCAACTGCTGTGGTTTTCTGCAGTGTGCATACCGGCAAGGAGGGCAGGGTTGAGGAGTGGCTGGAAGATGATGTGGAGAATGATGAGGTCCTAGACCCCACATGGAATCAAGGTCATGCGAGTGACGTGTGCAGTTTGGAGGAAGCAGGGCTGGTCGCACAGAGGCACCAGCACAGCATAAGAGGGAGCAGGGTGCAAAACGGAGCGGCCATCCTGCTGTGCGAGCAGCAGCAGGCAATAGTGGAGTTTCAGCTGCAGCATGCACGGATCAGTGGCTCTGCACCAGACTTCCCTCCAATTGATCAGAGTTAAAGGATTTCAAGTGGACTCATTACAATTATAGGGCCTCTAAAGAGTCCTGTATTATTATTTGTCGTCACTACCTTCCCGCGTCGGGAGTGGGTCATTTGCGCACCTGCTGCCTTCCTTGCATGTGGTAGCCTGAATGGAACCCTGATTCCCTGTTACCCGTGGTCACCATGGTAGGCGCAGAAACTGGCATTGAAGGTTGATATGGATGACATCCGAATGCAAAGTCGCCGCCACGGGGATTTGCGATTGACTCGAGGTTCTCTAGAGTCAATAAAGTGCCTGCGCATCTATAATGTCAACAGCTATTCTGCGTAACAGAGTTGTCTTTTTTATATGTCCCAATATAAAAATATAAATATATATATATATATATATATATATAAAACTGTGTTGGCTACCTCCTCCTCCTCCACAGTTGCTTAAACCTACACCGCCAAGGTCACTGCCTCCTCAACTTATGGGTCACTTAGTATAAACTATGTACACATTAGCAGAGGCTTGTGAAGGCCTTTTCTCCATGCATCAGGAGTTGAGTATTTCTCCATGCATCGGGACTGCAAGAAATGAACCGCAGGCCGCAAATGTTTCTTTTTTTTTAATGTTCCAATATTTTGTGGGCTACCACAATTAAAACATAAAAACAGTGTTGGCTACCTCATCCTCCACCGCTGCTTCCACCTACACTGCCACGGTCACCGCCTCCTCAACCTATGGGTCACTTAGTATAAACAATGTACACAATAGCAGAGGCTTGTGAAGGCCTTTTCTCCATGCATCAGGAGTTGAACTCAGTGTGAACAATGAAAGAGAATACCCTGCACTCCAACCGTCTCTCAGATGGATCATTCTGGTGATCCTCCTGACAGCCATGCTTTAGATTTTGATTTATGTTCTTCCAAAGTTAAAATCAAAGATTCCATCTAGTGCTATTTTATGGCTCAGTTGTATTTTTTTAATTTTTTTGTTATTTTAAGTGATTTCCCTATCCACATTTGTTTGCAGGGCACTTGTCCTACTCTTACCCCCCTTTTACTTCCTTTTGCAGCTCTCTAGCCCTTTCCAACAGCTTTTAAGAGGCATTTTTGTGGCCAAAAGTTCGGGTCCCCATTGACTTCAATGGGGTAGGGGTCAAGTTCGGGTTCAAGTTCGAGCCCGAACCTGGACTTTTTTCAAAGTTCGGCTGAACCCGCTGGAACCGAACATCCAGGTGTCCGCTCAACTCTAATCTTGAACAGAAGACACTTGAGGCAATATAATATAAAAAACAAATCAATGTTTAGTGGCTTAGACATATGTTCGGCATGATGTACATCAGTGCTCCTCAACCCACTCCTCGTGGCACACATAACAGTTCAGGAATAAGGCAGGTGTTACGGTACCTCCAGTAATAAATGTACAAACCGCCGTTTAGTGAATGCTCCCCGTTCGCATTAATGTAGGCTGGTAGCGTATGCAGTATAATCATGCAAACCGCCAGTTAGGGAACACTCCAAAATCCCGAACGGTACCTGTATGGCTCTTTCCCTTCACGAGCTCCAAATCCACGAACTGACAATATTAGCCGAACGCCAATATCTTCCAAGCGGCAAATTATCCAAATAAGCAGTCTCTAGTCGCCGGTAATAAAATCCCCCCAATAACGAGACCAAGTCCGCTTTGAGGGTAAAACACGAAATGATTTACTGTGGGCTACCTGCCCGGTATTTATGCAGGTCTCCCACTTGGTGGACACTCCCCTAGGGGACCAAATGGGAGACTGAAAGGACAGAAGGACATGGGGACATTTTGGACATACATCCCCACAATATTCCCAGCATGCATCACAGTTCCCTCCCCTCTGCTCGGGAGATAATTTGGAAGTAATTCAATTATCTCCCCGAGCAGAGGCAAATCGCCATTTTAAATACAAGTCATAAAACACATAAAAATCTATAACTTCATAACTGCCGAACATATTGTATTCGTGTAACACATCCCCAGATAGCCTGGATCTGAGGGCATATTATTGGCGAATAGCGCTCAGATCCCATTCGCATAGTTCAATCGCCATGGAGTCAAATTCTATTACAGTTCTTCGGTATGCGATTGACTCCATGGGAAGGCTATCTGGGTTAAGTCTGTGTTTAAAACTCCCGAATGGCCGGTGTTCGTGTACTTCTGTCGATTGAAAAGGGAGGTCGGCGGCTTCAGCGGTGTTCAGCACAAAAAGTGTCAGTTTTCAGTTCCATGAAATCAATGCCGAACACTGCTGGTCTTTCGCATGGTTTAAAATGGCCACCACCTCGTGGTCGACATACGAACGATGACCACCCTGTATTCGGTTTTAATTGAGAAGTGTCTGCGGTTAACCACAACGTTCTAATTGGGATCAAGAGGTTAACCAGCAGCACACTTCTCTTCTGGGTGGCCTTCCGTTCGGTAGTTTGTTCGACAAAAACGTCAATTATACGAAAAGAGGCTATCTGGGTTAAGTCCATTCGTGTTGTTGAATCTCCCGAATGGCCGGCATTCGTATGCTTTTGTCGATTGAGAAGGGGAGGTCGATGGCTTCAGCGGTGTTCGGTTGAAAAAGTGTCCGTTTTCAGTTCCATTAAATAACCGTCAAACACCGCTGGTCTTTCGCATGGTTAAAATGGCCACCGCCTCGTGGTCGACATACGAACGACGACCACCCGGTATTCGGTTTTAATTGAGAAGTGTCTGTGGTTAACCGCAACATTCTAATTGGGATCAATAGGTTAACCAGCAGCACACTTCTCTTCTGGGTGGCCGTCCATTCGGTAGTTTCGTTCGACAAAAACCGACATTCCCTTAAACAAGCATACGAATGGGGGAATTCATGCAACTGGCAAAACAGACGAATACAGTACTTTTAGTCCAGGCAGATGGGTCTGTCACAGCAGGCTTCCCCAAACTCCGGCCCTCCAGATGTTGCTGAACTACAACTCCCATGATTCTATGAATGAGATAGATAGGCTGAGAATCATGGAAGTTGTGGTTCTGCAACATCTGGAGGGCCGGAGTTTGAGGAAGCCTGGTTTAAGGTGTTTAAAAAAAAACCCCAAAAACTAGACTCTAACGCCTTTGACACACCTAAATAGGGCTTTCTTTACAGGAAGTGTTTATGGAAGGCTGTGCAAGTCCCATGCAGGGAGGCATGACTATGGTTCATAAACAAAGGGATTTAACTCCTAAATGGCAGAGAATTGAGCAGTGTGGCTGCAGGGGCATGTTCTATACACCAAAACTGCTTCATTAAGCTAAAGTTGTTCAGGTGACTATAGTGTCCCTTTAAATAGATAAAAATCCGTTCCTAATGGAAGTAAAAATAAAAGGCCAAAAAAAATAAATATGGAAACAAAAATGTGTATCACATGCAAATTAGAAGATTAGATTGTCACAGAAAAGAGTTTTAATTGCACTAATCACACCTGAAAGTATTTTAGGAAAAAAAGGGCGACACTGATTATTAGAAGAGTTTCCAAATTTGGTAGCGGTGGATTATTATGTAATGTGTTAATTAATTAATCACATATTTATGTATAAATTATAGAATTAAAACCAAAACTAATGAGGAAGGTACCTCGACTGCCCATCTAGATGTGGGTGAAAAGCTGGTTTAGGGGATTACTGTTCATCAACTAATTATGAATTACTTGTTTAGCCAAAGAGTTATGATGGAATTATTGTTTATTATATCTGTAACAGATCACCTGGCACTCCCGACTGGGTAACTCCGTTGAAGGATGCTCCTAGCGCTTCCTGGGGGCTCCAAGCACCCCAGCCGACACCATAACCACCATAGACTCCTTCCGAGAGCAAGACAGGAACAATCTCTTAAAAGAGCTTAGAAGTGATTATCCAAGGGAGTATGCAGAGCATAGCAATCCCTTGTAGTGATATAGCAATTCCCCCAATAAGAGACAGGACTCTATATTGAGGGTGAAGAAGAACTGAAGCTTTTAATCAAACACTCTGCTTTTATGCACATAGTACTGCCCACAGGGTTTTGCAGAACAACCAATCAATACGTACAATACACTCAGACACTCCCACAAAAAATCCTCCCCTCTGCCTGTGATATAATTACTGAACACAATGGTCTAACCTAATTATCACATGCAGGAAAATACACAGTTTTACACAATATTCATAAAGTATACATCACATTCACATTTTCAGAATCAGCATACTCCAAATACAAAAATACGTCAAAATCATACAAATTGGTCAGGTGGGTCAAAAGTTAGTTGAAAGTCCCTTTGTGACCATCTGGAAGCATGGCTTGGGTGTGGTAAGCCAATTACCTCCAGCATACAGAAAATGGCTCTATTCACAACAACAGTAAAAACACATAAAAATACATAATTCCTATTATACTTAACAGAACCCCCACATTCAACCTATCCCCAGATAGCTTGGATTTGAGCGCTCACTATATCCGGACAGCGCTCAAATACCACAACCACAGTCAAATCGCCATGGGGTTAAAACACAGCAAGAGCTGATGAGAGACCAAGGAGGGGCAAAACAGCAAGTTCCAACTGGTCTGGCAGTGTGCCTGGGACAACGCCCTGCTGGAACAATAGACAGGAACGCGGGAGGGGAAGAGACACATCTTCCCATGGATTCAAATGGGCAGAAACAGTCTTTTAGAAGCCAATAAGCCCCAAATAGTCTTTTTAAATGGCAATACACCCCAGGGCCATAGTCATGAGGGAGGAGGCTGGCAATCAGGCTCATCCAACAGCCAGGGGCAAAGGGCAGTTGGTCATGTAAAAATCCAGTGTCAAAAGGCATTTTGTCACAATATCTCAATCAGATGATAAAATGCTCAAAGCAGTTAATTTATGCAAAAGTCACTGCGCAGTTTTCATTCCAAACTGTGTCTCAATCACAGCTAATGGCAAGAACCAATCAGATTATGAGGAAGTGACTTGTCACTTCATAAATTTAATCTGCCCATTAAGATGATTAGTTATTAGAATTTTTATAATTCCAGAGGGGTTAATGGTAACAGCTCATTTAGACTTATTTTAATTACTTCTAGCAAAAAGTGGCATGATTCATGAATATAATCAGTTAGCCGATTGCAAAAGAAATTGCTATAATAGAAGGATTTCCATCAAAGCAGAGTTAAAAAAAAAAAAGAAGAAAAAATGAAAAAGAAAGCATTGTCTCACTTGTCTTTTTCTCATTGTTGGAATATCAAGAACTGGGATGAAATCACAGAGACCTTTAGAAATGTAGCCTGCAGGAGGGAATCTTAATTTGTTATGGATGCAGAAAAATCTCAGATTTATTCTGTTCAAGTTGTCGCAAAGTGCAATGCTTCAGTTTTTTTTATGTATAACACATCCATACTGTTACCTACTGTACTTACTTTGAAGGGAAACCAGCACTTTTCTGGAATAAAACATTGAAAATCATCTTTCACTTATGTTAACCT